GAGGGAATGGGGATTTTACAGTATCCTTCCCCTGGAGTGGGGAGGGAATGGGGATTTTGCAGTATCCTTCCCCTGGAGTGGGGAGGGAATGGAGAGTTTCCAGTATCCTTCCCCTGGAGTGTGGAGGGAATGGGGATTTTGTGGTATCCTTCCCCTGGAGTGGGGTGAAAATGGAGATTTTGCAGTATCCTTCCACCAGGAGTGGGGAGGGAATGGGGATTTTGCAGTATCCTTCCCCTGGAGTGGGGAGAAAATGGGGATTTTACAGTATCCTTCCCCTGCTATGCCCACCAAGCTATGCCCACAGAACCAGTAGTAAAAAAAATGAATTTCACACTGCTCCTACCTCCCAGGAGTGGGTTGCTGCTTGCATTACTGCTAGTTCGCAACCCTCGTGCAACGTGTGCACACATGCTTTTGTGCACGCATGTGCCAGATGCATGCACACTATGCGTGCATGTGCTGTTCAATATAAATAGTTCTGCGCACATGTGCAGAACAATTTACAGCGAACCTATGCAGTCACTAAAATTCAAAATGGCGGCACCCCAGCGGCAGCAAGGGAGGTAGGCCTGGGTCGCTGCCGGTTCTGCGACCCAGCACTGAATTGCACTACCGGTTTTGCCAAACTGGGCTGAACCAGGAGCAACCCACCTCTGCTACCACCACTGGAACCCTTTGGCCTTTATTTCATTACATTTATTTTAGATTTTCCACATCATCTTTAGTTCCTCCTGCTGGTACTCTTCCAGCTTCTCATATTCCTCCTTCTTGCGGTTGCTGTCATTTGGTACTGCTAGATTTATCTCCACCACCGCTGTGCTCTGCCCCTTGGCTGCTACTACAATGTGTGGTTGATTGGCCAGCAGATGCCCATCTTTCTGGATCTGAAATTCCCACGGGCTTCCTGGGAAAAGGATGGGAAAGACCTAATAGTTCAGTCAGGGTTGCCAGCATTAAGCCTGGTTCTGCAAAGCACATCAAAGTGTTTCAAAGTCATCCATAGGTTATGAGATAGGGAACAAGCCTGTTGCTACAAGCCGGAAGAGTGTTTTCTTGGAATAACTACTGAGCAGGTGGTGTTAAAATAATCAGGACTCAACCTACTCTCCACCATCTTCTGACCCTCTGGGCTTGGGAGGGATCTATGGCAATTCACCATGGCTAACCCATTACAACCAACCTGCCATGGGACAACTTGCCACGGGTCAATGTGCCATGGACAACTCACCACAGCCAACTGACAGTAGCCAACTCGCCATGGGACAACTCACCATGGTCAACTCACAATGGGACAACTCACCATAGCCAACTCACAATGGGACAACTCGCCACAGTCAACTCACCATGGCCAACTCATCACAGCCAACTCGTCATACCCAACTCACAATGGGACAATTCACCACAGTCAACTCACCACAGGACAACTCACCATAGCCAACTCACTACGGCCAACTCATCACAGCCAACTCAACACAGCCAACTTGCCACAGGATAACTCGCTGTAGGACAAGAATTACACATATCAACGAAGTGGTGGAATTGAATCATTAAAGAATGGATGCAAAAGGAGGAACAGATTAAAATGTGAATGACAAAAATTAAAATAATGTTTTATTGATTTTAAATAATTAAACTGTCCTGCAGCTAGCTGTCAGTGGCGAATTGTCCCAAAGCGAGGTCAGCTTGGAGGGTTGGCTACAGCCATGGGGTCACAATGAGTTGGCTATGGCAGGTTCTCTCATCCTGACTTGGGAGGGTCTAACTTCATGCTGGGCAGATGTTCCCGTACCCCATGCCAGCTACTTGGCTATGCCATTCAGTGTATCTCTTCCTGCCTGCATCTGTATGATTAAAAAAAAGAACAAATATGCAAAATGAGTAATTCAAAAACACATTTGCAACCTCATCCCTCCCTCCTTCTGGGATATGATGAATGAACATCCTCATGCCTAAAATTCTTACAAAGAGATTTACGCTGGGACACTATAATCTGATCCAAGGAAGTCAAGTTGAAACAGAGGTTTCCTGACGTGTGAGGGTAATAATTAATGCATGTGCAATATTGGTTTCTGAATTTAGGAATGGTAAAGAATGTTTTAACACCACCTGCTCAGTTAGCTGTTCCAAGAAAACACACTTCTGGCTTGTAGCAACAGGCTTGTTCCGTGTTTCATAACATATTGACGAAAATTTTGATCCATTCTGCAGAACCAGGCTTAATGCTGCCAGTTGGGTGACCTTGGGCCGGTCTCTCTCTCTCTCTCTCTCTCTCTCTCTCTCTCTCTCTCTCTCTCTCTCTCTANTCTAAAATAAACTTAAAAGTAAAAAGTTAATGTCCTCTATCATTTGAGCTTTAACTCCTCTTTGCTAGGCTAACTCTAAACAGATTATGTCGTATATTGTGAATTTTTAATACTTGTTAGCTAACTTCAGTCACATGGCAAATGGGTGACCATATAAAATGAATGAATGAATGCAAAGAGAACTTATGTAAAAGTCCAGATTTTAATATATGTTCCTCATATTTTGAAAATTTAATAATGAGTTACTAAAAGTTAAGAGTTATTGTTGTCAAATTATTCTGAGTATGACTGACTGGATTCCAGTCCTCCACAGTGTTTGTCTTCTCTGAAGTATAATGTAAAACTATCACTATTGCTTTTTATATAATATTTAATATTTCTGCACACTATTTGTTAAATAATGGTACATTGAATCAATTTGAAATTAATTTATAGCTGTATGTAACTATGTATATGTAGAGGGAAACTATATTTTATTGTATGTATTGCTCATTTTACATATGTCGAATTTTAGTAAGTTCTCACTTGATCATTTTCTTACTTTTTAGCTAAATAGCAATAGCACTTAGACTTATATATCACTTCACAGTGCTTTTAGAGCCCTCTTTAAGCCGTTTACAGAGTCAGCACATTGTCCCCAACAATCTGGGTCCTCATTTTACTGACCTTGGAAGGATGGAAGGCTGAGTCAATCTTGAGCCTGGTGGGATTTGATCTGCCAAATTGGAGGCAGCTGGCAGTCAATAGAAGTAGCCTGCAGTACTGCATTCCAACTACTGCACCAATGCAACTTAAATATAATGCTTTTCTTTTTTTCATTATTTAAAAACAGGTTATCAGATTCCCCAAGATCAAAAAGATCAAGCTGCCACGTATTTGTAGTAAATTAATAATAGGCATTATTTCAAATATTTATTGTATTTATTATTTTTAAAGATCTGGATATTTGGATAAAATTTGGGAATTTCTAAGAGACATTGTACCAGAATTTAAGTTACCAGAAGAATCAATTCCTGAATCCAAATCATCACTTGATGCAAAAAAGGATTTGAAAGCATCTGAAATAAAAAATGATACTATGCCTACTGTTAAGCAACAAGAGAAACCAGAAAAAGCCGAGAAACCTGGGAAAGGTATGTTTTAAATTGTCCACATTATCAGATACACAATAAAGAGTACCAGAAGAATAACAAGGTTATATTGCCAAGAGATAAAACAGGTACAACTGAATTACACTCATCTTTCCCACAAGTTATTCCTCAGGATGTCCATAGCCAATTCTGTCCCTAATTCAAATCTGAATCAGACTGCAAAAGCTCAGGACAATCAGTGTTTTTCAAAAATGCCAGCAGGTATACATATGCCAACCTTTCAATTATATTGCCCAAAACATTATCTAAACTATTTTGATGCCCAAACAAATCTCATCTTTGTTGTTTGACGTCCTAGCTGTTACCTTCCTGTCCTTTTGTACTGTATTATTATTTTCTTTTATATTTAAGATCAGCAATATACTATTTCGTTAATATTATAATGCATACTTTTAGCTCTGGAGAAAAATATAGTTCATTCTTGTTTCTATCTACATTAAGCATATGCATATATGTATGCCCAAAGATCATGGAAACTACCATGAAACAGCACAGGAAACTGCTCTTTCCTAGAGTAGATGAAGCTTATCATCCCTACGCCTGACTGAATCACAGCTGAAGTATATTACTGCAACAATGTAGTTTTCTTCAAAAAATGTTTAGGATGCAGGAAGAAAAATTTTCAATTGAAGATATTTTTTTAAAATAAGGGATTTTGCAGGTACATCATCTTCAGTTGCTTCTAATTTGTTTGTCATTCCAAAGTAGTTTTTAAAATATGAAAAGGTTGAGACCTAGTACTTGAAATATAACTGAATAAGAGAAAGAAACAAAGGAAAAATACATTACATTGAGATAATGTAATGTGTTTGGGTAGGATGTAGACAAATCGATCAGCAAAGATTTATTAACATTGTAATTGCTTGAAAACAGAATCTTATTTTACAGGTAATCCTCAACTTACAACCATTCATTTATTGACCGTTCAAAGTTACAACTGTACTGTGACATATGACTTTTTCATACTTACGACTGTTGCAGAATTCCCCATGGCTACATGATCAAAATTTAGAGGTTGGCAACCAGCTCATATTTATGACAGTTGCAGTGTTCTGGACTCATGTGATCATTTTTGTGACCTTCTGACATGCAAAGTCAATGGGGAAACAATATTCACTTAACAATTGTGTTCTTAACTTAACAATTGTAGTGAATCACTTAACAACTGTGGCAAGAAAGGTAATAAAATGGGGCAAAACTCACTTAACAACTGTCATGCCTAGCAACAGAAATTTTGGGCTCAATTGTGGTCTTAGGTGAGGACTACCTTAAGCAAGTTTGATTAGCAACCATTCAAAATTACGATAGACACCTCCCCCCCCCCCCAAGCTACTTATAAATCTAGCTACAGATTCCAATGACTGCACACATATCTCCATGGTCACATAACTGCCTTTCGGATGCTTGGAAACCAGTTTCCGGTTTAAAACACCCATAGGAATAAAGGGATTCACTTAATGACCATGGCCTTCACTTAACTGCTGGGGGGAAAAGGTAATGAAATCAGAACTGGTCACTTGGGAATCTGAATTTATGACCATCATGACTTTGGACAGAAATTCTGGGCTCCATTACAGTCATAAGTTGAGGACTACCTGTCAGCGTTCCAAATATCATGCAGAATTAAATCAGAGATCAAGGCAAAACTATCCTTAAAGTTCCAATTTAATAAGACAGACATGTTGGCATCATGCTATGGAATCCCAATACTGGAAATGACATCAGAATTCCACCCAGTTAAAAGTTCATGATCTTGTCCCCACACCCACAATCCATCTCATGGTCCAATCTGCTTCTTCCACGCTGGCATCCACACCCAGCTGCTTCCGGTCAGGTGAGAAAATACGGAGACAAAAGATGACCTTGAGCTTCTAGAAAAGAATGATAACAATACATTCCACAATCTCACTCCTGTCTATTCCCCCCTCCCATCAACTATACTAAAGAAACAGCATAATGAAATAAGAGAAAGTGTGGCAGGCCAAAATTCTAAAAAGAATATAATTGCAGGCCTGACACTACCTGTATGTCCTTAACCTTTGCCTTATCAGAAATAGGAACAGATTTTTTGGTAGCTGAGACCATAGTCTTCAATACTATCTGTTGCTTGAGACAAGATCTCCTTTATAATCGGGGACAAAGTACCGTAGTATTTATTAGTGTACTGATTTTTATTTTTAGAAAAGCCAGATCAAAAAGAAGTTGGAAAGAAGCGAAGCAAAGATGGTGAAAAGGATAAACTTAAGCCAGCTTCTCATTCTGCACGAATGTCTGCTGATTATCAAAGTTCTCTTCAGATATTTCTTGATGGTAAGATTATAAAAAATCTTAGACATATGTGCATTGGCCATCAAAGTTTTAGTGAGATTATTAAGTATCATTAAGTATTATTGAGCTCAGAAGTTAGCAGATGTATTTTACAATTGAAATCTGAGCTCCAATTCCAAATTTCTACAAGTGCAAGATAAAACCTTTTCTACTTTATGCTTCAGGGGCAGGTCAGTAACAGGTTATCTGACCAATATTTGCTTTTCACAGTTTTAACTCAAATTCATGGTTAAAAGCATTGGTTACTGGTTCCTTCTTAGCAATAATGACACCCTACCAATAAGATGCATCATGTATTAGTTATTTGTTTATATCACAAGGATATGAAGAATTCTGTCACAAGAATATAATATGAAGACTCACTCCATATTATCAGTCATGTCAGCTATATCATTAGTGAGATTCTGTGGGCTGCACAGCTTTCTCTACATCATTGCAAAATCAATCAGCCAGAGTGCTAGCCTGTTTCTTGTCCTCCTTAACCTAAAGCATGAAATGTGGTTTGTTTGTTTTGTTTTGTTTTGTTTTTTGTTTGGATTTTGGGAGAGTTTGGGAGATTTTAAGGGGCAGAAAGTGTTTCTGGCAGCTTTGCAGAGGCTGTAGGCTACAAAAAAGGCACAGTAGTTTGCTCCTGTCCTAAACTGTGGTAAATGGCTCAAGGTTGATGAGGAACTGAAATATTTTTCCTCACTTCAGTGAGTCTGCAAAAAATTATATCTGAGAAATGAATGTCAAAAGCCGAACAAAGATACTTCACAGTTTGTTTCAACATTATACAATCTGATACTGATCCAGATTTCATTTTACATGGTGTTCTGAAGAATATTTCTACTTCAGAAATGAAGCAGGTCTACTGCACTTTTAAAACTGTCAATACAGTTAAATTGCTGATTCACATGCTATTCTTATGGTGAGGAAGTCCCTGTTCGGATTCTGTAGGCCACCTCCTCTTTCAACCTAGGAGATTTATTTTCCATTCAATCTTGCTCCTACTTAGCTAAGTTGTCTCCCCAGCATGGTCTTGCTTAGTTTCTTGTGATTAAAGTTGTTGCTTATTTGTTACTCTCTTTGTGTCACTTTTCTTGACTTTTCAGCCTTTGATCTGCTTAGAAGATTATGAAGAAAATCAATGGTACTAGGTGTTTTAAATAGCCAATAATTTTAAATTATTCACAAAATAAAATTTAATAGGGATTTGACAAAAAGTAAACAAAAATATTTATATTGTACATTTCAGGAAATGCACATATTTTATTTTTAAAATCCTAAATAATATCTGTTGATTTTAGGTAGTTATATTAGTCCTAAATAATGCATATGTATTGATTTTAGGTAGTTACATTGGTCAATTACATCAAATATTTCTAATTGTATCTTTCTTTGAATAAAATAGAAACAATTTAAATGTAAAGCCCCAACAGATTATTTAAACTTTAAAACTATTTATTTTTAACTAGCTTCTTTGGTATTTTTCAGAATAAGTTACCTAATTGAAACTATCCCATTTCTCAAATTCCATTCTTGCATTTATAGCACCATGTTTAACATGGGATATTATCAGTTCATATTATGTTGTTACCTACAGCTTTATTTCTTTTCTATTATACTGTTTAATAGATTCAATGGGTTCTTTGCAGGTTCTGCAACTCCATTGCAGCCACAGATGGTGGTGTATGCTTGTTACATGCCTCTTTATGTACCTGAAAAAAAGATCTTCATATTAGAGAAAATGGTAAGAATTTATGTACTTTTCCTTTTATGAATAAATTAACAACAATAATTCTAATAAATAACAAAATAACAGTTGGAAGGGGCCTTGGAGGTCTTCTGGTCCAACCCCCTGGTCAAGCAGGAAACCCCTTCTTTGTGGCAGCCTCTCAAATGGTGTAGAAGTCACTGGAGGTTTTTAAGAAGAGATTGGACAACTGCTTATCTAAAACGGTATAGGGTCTCCTGCTTGAGCAAGAGGACTGGAAAACTTTCAAGGTCCCTTCCAACCCTATTATTCTGTTCTTCTATTATTATGTTAATATTAATAAGATATTACCTTGCTTCAGATTTAAATCTTAGCACAAATTTTTACTCTTTCTACAGAATATTCTACAGAACAGAAGTTCAATAACTTTGTATCTAACAAAGTCTTATAATAGAGTCAATGTTTCCTGTGAACATACATTTGTATTTTGTATATAACCCAGCTGCTTTTATCGTATTGCAGGCTGATTCTTCTGAAAAGTTACGACAATATGGTCTTTCCCACATCTATAGCCATCCTGCACTGATAACTAGAACAAGGTCAGGTCCCTTAGTGGCCCCACCAAAACCACCAGCTGTACCTCGTTGGAAACTTATACGCCAGAAAAAGGAAACAATTGTGACAGATGAACCCCAAGGTTTGTCATTTCAACCTTTGAGTTTTATTTCTAATTAAGATTAAATCCAGATATAAGGTATTTGTTTTCTTTCCTCGTGGTTTCACAAAGATTGCTTTTTGAGATGCAAAATGGTTGTTTGTGAAAATAAAAATGTATTTTGACTGCTTCTTTAGGTATTTAAAACCATTCTATATTTTGCATTTAATGTTCTCCAATGCCAAATCAATTGTTCTAAGCTAAAAAAACAGATCTAACATGTGATACCTGACTCACCTCTCTNATTGTAGTGCAAAATTCTGAGAAGTGTAGATTCCCACAAACCCATCTCCTCCTGGATCCCTAATATATTTGACAGGTCCAGCAGTGATAAATTCATATCTAATCCCTGATGGATTGAGTTCCTTATTCATCCCTACGGAGAAGATATTGGCTTGAATCAAGCTCTTTTTCATAGCATTTTATTGCTGCATGGAAATGTATATTTAAATCCTTGAAATGTGGACATAGGAGATATTCAGAAGAAGAGAACTGTTCGAGATGAAGGACAGATGGAGGTGACATTCTGGAAACAGAAGGATGCTAGCTTTTGAGACAAGAGAATATTTGTAGCTCAGGGTGAAACTGTGGGGCGCTTGGTGGTCGCTGAGCTTGGTGGTTTTCTTGCAGATGTTTCATGACCCAATTAGGTAACATCATCAGTGTTATCAGAGTGGGGTTTCCAGAGAAGAGGAGGTGGACGAGGACTGTGGAGTTCTTGGTGGTCGCTGAGCTTGGTGGTTTTCTTGCAGATGTTTTATGAGTATCATGAGTGCTAGAAGGGAGAAGGGTTTCTGGGGAGGAGGAAGAGGAGGAGGAAAGATAGAGGAGAACCAGAAAGGGAAAGAATAATGGAAGGTGGAAGAGGAGAAGAAGGAGGATAGATAGAGGAGAACTATGTCAGAGTCTGTTGCAGCAATCACATTCAGAAAGCACTGATAACTGATTCACCAGGATTCATTAACTTTTCTTTATATAAAATATAACAGTTGAAGTAAATATACTATACCAGAAGCAGGTTTTCCAATGTGATAATAAACAGAAGCAAACCACAACCAGAGGAAAGAACAGTTTCAGTTTCAGTTTAGAGCAGCAGACTAGTATAGAGCCCAGCACAGACTCCGAGCTTTAGTACAGAACAGTTGAACTAAGCCCCGCCCAGGCTCCTTGCTTTCTCCTTGTTGCTCACACAGCAAATACTGTTTCAGTTTCCAAACAGCCCTCATTGGCTGACTTAGTTGCTATGCCTACTCATTGGCTGATTTGTTACCATGCCTCTGCCAAGTCATGAACTTCCATACACTGCCAAACTAGAAGGAGAAGGAGCGATGGAAAGGAGAAGGAGGAAGAGGAGGAAAGACAGAGGAGGACTAGAAGGAAAAGGAGAGATGGAAGGGAGGAGGAGGAGAAGGATAGTGGAAGGGAGGAGAGCAGAGGTGGGTTCCTACCAGTTTGCACCAGTTCGGTAGAACCGGTTTGTCAAATCTACCGAACCGGTTAGAAGAGGCCCCACCAGTGGACCCGGAAAGCAGGCCACACCTACAGAAGAGGTTCCAAAAATTTTTGAACCCCACCACTGCCACACAGAGAGAGAGAGAGACAGACAGACTGGCACAGAGAGAGAGAGAGAGAGAGAGAGAGAGAGAGAGAGAGAGAGAAAGAAAGGAAGAAATAAAGAAATAAATAAAGAAAAAAAGAAAG